ACCCCACAGGGTCCAGCAGCTGGGTGAGGGGAAGGCCAGGGAGAGGCAGGGCAGGCTGGTAGAGAGGCTGGGGGCAAGCGGTCCTGCCCGGCCGCTCGGTGTTGGGACAGGGAGGATATGGGTGCCAAAATTGTCATTTGTGGGCACGGTGCTCACAGAGGTGGCTGTCTTTTCAGGTGTTAAAGGAAGTTGATGATGAGTTGAATATGGGGGTGTGAGAATGTGCAGCTGTGCGTGTGTGGCTTGTGAATGTGCATACGTGGGTGTGTCCCGTACACAAACATCCTCATTGACTGAAAGCTCATAGTGGGCTGAGCACAAGGACAGGTGTTAAAGAGGAAATCCACGGCAGAGGTGAGCTTCTCCCTCAAGGAACTGAGTCTCACGGTGGAAGTAGGGCCTGTGCAAGTGAAAAATGACTGAGTAATACAAAGGGATAAAAGCGGGCGACTGAAGAGGCACAACAAAGTGTCACTGAGTGCGTGGAGAGGGACAGCAGCAGGGGGGGGGCTGGGTCAAGTGCACGCAGAGAAGACCGCCCTGTGGGAAAGCGTCCCGGCGCCGTCAGCAGGCAGGCAGGGCCCTCGGGCTTGGGGAGGGGGAGAAATGGTTTGCCCAGTCAGCAGGCAGAGGCAAATCAGTCCCTAGGGGAGCGTGGGGGGCAGTGACGTGAACAAGGTCAGCGGGAGTTAGCGGATGTCTGGCAGTGCGTGGTATGGACGCGTGCACGGGATGAGGTGGGAGCCAGCCCTGTGTGTGCGGGCCCTCTTCAGACATGTCCCCTCAACTCATTCAGCTGGTTCCTCTACAGTGTAGAAGTCTAGATGCTGAATCCAAGGCTGCTGTGAGGAAGATGCAGGGGCGAACCATCGTGAATCACAGATGAGCCCCGAGGCCAGATTCTGGGCCTTGGGCATCAAAGGTCTGGGAAGGAGGGTATTAGAACTGCAGGGGAGGGGTTGGAGGCAGAGGTGCAAGTCCAGTGTGTTGCAGGCCCACATTTGGGAAGGTGAGGTGTGGCCTTTGGGACAAATGTCAGTGAAACTGGGCCAGCCCTGGTCAGAGGGCACCAGTTCGGGCTCTTTCAGCTTCACTGTTGTTCCCTGTTTGGGATGCGGTCATGCTTGAGCTATTTGAGTATCTCCCTCCACTCGCTCTGTGAGCTCCCATGATCCACAGAGCTACACCGGGTGACAGCATCCATCCATGGGAGCAGGGACCGGGTCCACGTGGCTCACTTCTGTGCCCGCAGCGCCTAGAACCCTGCCTCACACACACTCGGCATCACCCCAACGAATGCAGAGGGCATTTGTGAATCATGCCCAGCAAGTGGGGAAAATGGCAGGGAGAGGAAGGAGCTGTGTAAAGGCGGGAGGAGTGGGGAAAGCAGATTTCATCAACTAGAAGCAAGGTGGCTCCAAATCCCCTTCTAGGGCCCTCGCTGTGGTCCTGGCAGACTGGTATCTGATGGAAGGCCTCCCCCGCAAAGGCGTGTGGAGTTGGCTGGGCTAGCCAAGTCTGATCACTTGCTCCCTGCACTCGTCTCACAAAACTCGGAGGTGGGGGCAACTCTGTAAGCTGGGAGCAAATCTGTAAAGGGTCATTCCGTGGTAGACCAACTAGTCCAACCCGTCATCTTGATGATGTAGAAATTGAGGCCCAGAGATGTGAGGTGCCTGGTCCAAGGTCGCACAATGGATATATCAAGATCTCCCATCTGGAGAGGGTTTCAGCCCCCCACACTGAGAAGTGTTCCCTAGCCCCCACGGTCTTGCAAGTTCAACTAGAATAATGTCACACTTGCTTCTCATCCTAAACTGTCATTCACACCTAAGTCCTAGGGAGGGAAGGACCCAATAGGAACGGCTCAAGTCAACTATCCTTCATGGCTGCCTCTCTACCTGGCTCTTGACAGTGACTTTTCCCTCCAGTCTCTGGAATCTGTTCCTGCCTGCACATCCAGGAAACACAAGGGACTGGTTGTACCATGCATACTCTAGGACTCCCCTGCCTCTCCAAGGATACCTTCCCATGGAACGAAAACTAGACCAAAGTAAGCCCTCGGGCCTGTGTTCCTCGGCTCCAGGTCCCGGCCGCCCGAGGGCTGGGCAGCTGGGGGCTCCATGGGTCCCCACGCACGGTGCAGGTGCTTCAGAGAGCGCCAGGAGCTCTGACAATGCGCAAGGGCAGCTCCTGATTTTGCCATTGCCCCCCCCCCCCCCCCCGCCATCCAGGCACACGTCTCTACCCCTCGGGCAGCCCCTGGGTTCTTACTCCTCCCAGTCCTGCCCACCGTGCCAGCTGAGTCATCTCTAAAGAGTGGCTTCTGTGTGTTGCCTCTCCCATGGGCAGCATCTAACGGTGCTTCATGGCGCCCGCCAAGGTTGTGCCTCTGCTGGGCTTTCACAAGCCTTCTGTGACGTTCCCCCTTTCTCCTTTCATGCCCTCACCGCTCCTCACAAGGGGTGCTCCTTCTCACTTTTAAAAAAATAATCTTGGCGTCTGTGGTTTCTCCAGCCCAGAGCTTCCTCTCTCTTTCACTCAAGGATTCAAATGTCCCCCTTCTCCCAGGTCCAGCCCAGGCCACACCTCTTCCACGTAGCCTCAGGGCCATACAGACTTGTAGATCATCTAGATCCAACCCCGCATTTTCTAGATGGGGAAACCAAGGCTCAGAGAGGGTAGCTGATTTGTCCAAACATCAAATCACTAGCTGGAGACTGGAAATACAGATATCCTCACCCTGCAGTAAAATACCTTTGCAATCTTCCTGGCTAAAGAAGGTGTGTCTTCTTGGAGGGAAAGAAATCCTAGGAACCATACACACAATCCCTAAATCCACTTGATCTCCAGTTGTCCTTACAGCCAGAAACACACAATTAAGTGCTTAATTATAAGCTGCTTCGCATTGTTATTTAAGTGTTTTCAAAGTAGACTGTAAGCCCCCTGAGGGCAGGAAACATTCCCTGTGCTGTGGGGTCGGGTCCTCTCCTAAGTCCCTAGTTGGGAGTGCCAGGCACCAGAAGGTGTCATATGGTGGGACCAGCCCCCTGGCCTGGCTGGAGAGCTCATCTGGGAAGATCATTTTCCCACCTCCATTTCTGGCAGCGAGCAAAATGGCATGGAAGTCAAGGGGCTCTGCCCAGATGCAAGTCCTGTTCCTAAGTTTTCACGTGGATGAGAGGTGTGTGTGTGTGTGTGTGTGTGTGTGTGTGTGTGTGTGTGTGTGTGTATTTTGGGGGGATGCACAACAAGCTGGCTTGGGCAGAGATTCAAAGCGACTGACAATCGCTGTCAGGCTGGATGGGTTTGGAGCCTCCGCGCCTGCTGCCATCGTCCCTGGTGGGGCACACAAGCCACTGTGTTTTCTGGAGGGCAGGCTAGGCTCAAACACGAGGACTGCAGCCAAGGCAGGGGCAAGTATCTCTGCCGCATGCACCTCCCTTCTTCCTTTGCCCCTTTCATGCTCCTCCGGACTTCACCTACTGCTCTCTCCTTTCCTGGCCACCCTGCCCCTCAGAAGGCACTTGATCCTGCGGGAGGCTCTTGCAGGGGACAGTCTGAACATGATCCCTGCCCCCCTCCCTGCCCAGGGTGTGGGCTCTGTGACTATGGGACTAACGTGGGACTCCGAGGCGCTGCCTTACTTTGTGGGGGGAATGTGGTGGGCTGAGGCACTAGTCCCCAGCCCCCAGAAAGCGCAGTGCCTGGACTGGTAGAAGGGGGCTCATGATGTCTGAGGTGAGAGGGAGCCAGGGAGCTGGAGAAATTCATCTTGGCTTGGGCAAGATACATGTTTCTCTGCCTTCTCTCCTTGTATCCAGATTTGGGAAAGTGTGTCTTTGGGAAAGCGGTTTAAACAGATGTACAGATTGGCAAGGTGCTGAGGGCACCTGGGGAGGGTTCACCAGTGGAAAGGTTGCACCAACTCCGCTTGCAGGGCAGCCCAGAGCCTTCTGCCATTGGTGGCTCCTGCTCGGCACACCTGAAGGCCTCCTTTGCTCAGCCAGTGCCTTTCTGGGCTCTGCGGTGTTCCTCTCCTCTGGGGCCTCAGGCAACAGGCTTGTAACAATACCTTCCCCGGCTTCCCAGTGGGTGGAAGTTGGTCAGGGTCACTGGGTGAGAGCAAACGGCTGATGACACCTACCCACCCACTCAGCCTCCTGCCAGCCCCGGGGATGTGCCGTCCGCACTCTCAAGATGGCATCCGTGTGTTCCACATTATCTTCCCTTGCCCCAGATGGGGGAGATGCTAGAGTACACAGGGGTTACTTTATTTCCCATTTTTCTGGAGAGAAAGCCAAGGCTCAGAGAGGGGGCCATGGCTCACATAGGAGAAGGTGAGTCGCCTGAGGCCTTGCAGTGGCCAGATGTCCACGGGTCTTCCCGCTCCACAGTCTGGTGCGAGCGGGACCAAGGCCACCATCAGGTAGCCATTAGCAAACTACAGGGAGTGGATCCTCTCCAGGGTGCCAGAAGGGCTGCTCAGAGAAGCTCGTGGAAGGGGCATGGCGGGGGGAAGTTTTTGCCCCACCACTGAGGTAGAACAGGGCAGACAGAGCAATTAACAACCAATGAAGACAGACTGGCAGGGTGGCATTCCAGGGCCCTCTTGCCCAGATCGGACTCAATTATAGGGTACAATTACCTGCAGGAGTGCTGTGGGGTAGCTGTCTGCACATGCCATTCGAAGCTGAGTTGGGGAAACGCTTCTCTCCCTGGCTCCAGTTACTCCCTTTGGGACCCGGCCTCACAGACCCACCCACCCAGTGAGAGCCACCATCTTGGTCTGTGGGACTTATTTCTCGGGAGGAGACCACATCTGATGCCAATATCTCCCTTAGGACACCTCATTCCAGTCTACTGCCAAGAAAGGCCACCCTCTGACTGGCCTCCAAAGCTCACGGGTAGGGGTCAAGGTCCCAACCTGGCCATGAATGCACAAGCATCCACTTCCGCCCCAGAATTCACACTGGCTTTGGCAGATGGGAAGGCCTTACCTCGAGTTTTGTTTTCTTTGGAATGGAGAGAGATGTTCTGTTTTTCCTGAAGATAGACGAAGAACTGGTAGCGGTGAAAGCCACTTTTTACTGGTGGGGACGGAGGCTGGTAGGCTGGGGACAGAAGAGGGACAGAGTGTGGGCCCCCAGCCCATAGTACCCACAACTTCCTGGCTGCCCTGGGCCAGAGGAAAAGAGAATTCTTTGTGCCATTCATGGTCCGCCCCCCCCCCATCCCGGGGTCCCAGCTGGGGGCTTACCCATCGCAAACCATTAGAATTTATCTTTGGCAGGATCTCAGCTTCTGGCAGCTGCCTTTAGGAAACACCTTAGTTTGGGCAGTGCGGGGAGGAGGGGGTGTGGGGTGCTGGAGGGTCGTGGGTGCTGGTGGGACTCCCCGGGCCTCTCTTGGCCAGCAGGTACTGGTGTTATCCCTTTGCTGCTTTAGTCTATCCTGATGGATTTCCTGCCTCAAGAGAAACTCATCTTCCTCTCTGAGAGCGTTTGCCAGTGGATTTTTATTTATTTTTTCAGCATTTCCTTATGAACTCAATTCCCAAAGAAGCCAATTTCTTGGCTGGATCCGGAGGATCTGGAAGTGGTTATGGGGGTGGGTGGGACCCGGTTCAAAGGTTTGATCATGGAAGTGTAGGATCGGGGTGCTCCGGGCACTGGGAGCCCACTCAGGCTCTTCCGGAGGAGAAGGCCCATCTCCCTCCCTTTTGCCCTCGGTGCAGGAGGCAGATCTTTTTCTGGGGCAGGAGGGAGCTCGGGGCGGGGGGGGGGGCATCTCTCATTCTTTCCCCAAGTCTGTGCAGGGGTTTTGTGGGCCAGACTTTTGCGGTCGGTCGGTTCCAGTGGGGCCGCCTTCCAAACTCTGTGGCTCTGCCCCCTCCCCATCGCTCTCCTCCTCTCCCCCACCTTCTAAAGAGCCAGGAATTTTCCTGGGGGTGGGTGGGGATGGAGCGTTTGCAGTGAGGATGCTGGTGGGAGGGAGTGCTGGTACTTTACGGCCCCCTCCCTCTCCTGGTCATTAGACAAGAGCCACCCGCTATTTGGAGCTGTTGGAAGTGTTCCTCATGTGTACTTCCGGCCACTGGGGCTTCCAGCATGCTCACAGCCAGGGGAATTCCTGACTATTCATCTCTCCCTGACTTTTTGATTGCAGATCTGATATCCGTGTGTGTGTGTGTGTGTGTGTGTGTGTGTGTGTGTGTGTGCGCACACACGCGTGCGTTCAGGGTGAGCACCGCACAGGGTGTGTCAGGAGCCACGTGAGTTTGTATGAGTTGGGGTCCACACTGGTGCAGGTGCAGGTGTCGGAAGAGCTGGTGTGCATGTTCGCTGAGGCTGTTTTGTAGGGGCTCTGTCAGTGTATGTGCAAATGTGGGTAAGTCATTGTTTTTTTCACAAACACTGCCAACACTGAGGAAGACTTCTGAGCATAGGTGGGTGCTGGAGTGTGTCTTCACGTGCATGGCGTGTGGAGGGCAGAGGCGGCCGGGTCAGCTTTTGGCAAGGCCGGTGGGTGCGTGGGCTGCCAAGTACACTTGAGGGGGGCACGTTGCACACCGCCAAAGAGCTGGTGTCTGTGATTGTGTCTGCAGAAGGCTGCAGTTGGAGCTCACTGGTTCTATGCAGCTGGGAAGTTATCCTCGGGGGAGATGGAGACCTGACCCCTCTCTATAGGGCTTTCCTGAAGAGTCCCCCCTCCGAAAGTAGAGACGAGGGGTCGGGAGGGGGAAGGGAAGGGATACACACATGTGGCGCCCCTTCTTGGTGCCAGGCCCTGGCTGTGTGCTTTCCCTTGTGACATCTCCTTAATCCTCACCACAACCTGGTCAGATGAGTGTTATCCCCATTTTCTGGATGACGAAGGGAGGCTCTGAGAGGTGAAGTCAGGCCGACAGGAAGTGGTGAAGCTGGGATTTGAATCCAGGCCTATCTGATGTCTGACCCCATGTTGCGTCATGGAAATATGAGGCTCATTTGTCTTTTTGCTCAGCCCTCTTCGGAGGCCAGGTCCGCACCTAGGCATTCCCTTCAAGTTGGGTGGAGAGCATGCCCTTGCTGGGGGAGTCTGAGTGGGGGGCGCGGAGTGGAGCTCGGGGTGAAAGGGGTGGCAAGGGGAGGGCATCAGAGAAAAGGGACCCATGCAAGCACATCGTGGCACGGGGTGCAGGGAAACACACGGAGGCAGGCCGAGGGAAGGGAATGACTGCGCCAGTCCCTCCAGGAGAGCAGACCCCTGCATTTAATGCTGGCCCCACCCCTTACTCCTCAGGAGCTGAGGGACACGTGGGTCACACCTGGCTTTCATTCTCTTTCAAATGGAGATATTGGCGGCAGCGGCCTCCAAAAGGCCATTGTGATGATTAAATTATCGAGGAAGAGTAAACTCCTGAGTCGGTGGGCACTTTCACACCACTAAGTCTCAACCTTAAGTTGCATTGTTACGGTTCTTGTGGTCATGTCGTTGCCCTGGCTGGGGCGAGGGGTGTGGGAGGGTCGTACTCACGTGACAACTCCTGGCCCTGGACCTTCCCTTTCTTTATATCAGCGCCCTGCAATGACAGACAGGCACAGGTGTGGGTTCCTCCTGGGGCGGCAGAAGGCCACACCACCACACTTCAGCCCAAGTGGGTTTTGCTGACTTCTTTCTCCCTGAGGGAGTAAGAAGAGTAGGAATGGGTATGTCTGCTCCTGGGACAGGCGGCCAGAATGGGCTCTGGGGTTTTGAATGGTGCCTTAGGGGGTCCAGGGGGAGGACAGACACAGGCATTGCTGACGGTAGCCTGGGGGTGAGAGATGGACGCCCCCCAGACTACCGGAGAGAGTGAGGGGACATTTCTGGAAGGGCGGCTCCGCTCCCTCATCTGCACCCTTAGACCGGGCACGGGACACAAGTCTCTGCCTGTGGGGTCTGGTCAGATCTAAGGCAGGGGCTGACAATCCTCACAGCTTTGCTAAGCCAGCCCATCCTCTCGGGCTCTCTTTGGGGCCTTCAGAACATTAGGCCAATGGCTGCCTGAGTAACCAGAAGGGCAGGGAGGGCAGGAGGGGGCTGGACCGCTGATTCTGAGGCAGCTTTTTCCCCCAGCCTTGAATGGAGTCAGCCCACAACCTCTGGGCAGATTGTTTGGCCTCAGTTTCCCTCTTCTTCCTTCCCCTCCCTTCTCTCCTCTACTCCGCGTCTGTGGGATAATGAGGTGATCCCGGGGGTGGGTGCTAATTATTGTTTGTGCAGGACTGGGAGATGCTCAGATGAAAGGGACTGGAGCCGGGCTCCTGGGTCCGTGCCACAGCTCGGGGGCCCCTAGGTGTGGGGTTTTATGGCCTTAATGATGGTGATTAGCATGGCTCTTCATGGGTTCTGCCAACACCTAACTGTGCCCCGGCCACCTTTCTACCGAGCCCTCCCGGTACAGCCTCTTCTCCTTCCCCTGGCAGAGGCGCTCAGGAGGAGGCTTTGGGAGGGGGAACCACGCGATTTCTTCTCATTTCTCTGCAGAGACTCTCAGGGTCGGCTGGGTGACCCAACTCCTAGTGCGGTTTACCTTCTACAAAATTCAAGCCCCACCCCCCCCTTCTTGAGGCCCCCCCCCCCCCCATCTCTTCCCTTTTGGGCTGTAGCTTGTCTACCAACTGTTCTTACTTTGGGCCTCCTTGGCTAGACCATCCCCTTTCCCCAGGCTCGTCCCTGTCTGTCTAGGTTACCTCTGGTTGGGAGAAGGGGAGGGGAGACTGCAGTACGGGCCCCTCCACCTTGGGCCCCCTTCCCACTTGGTTGTCCTCAGCCCGAGCAGATGAGATCGCTGTCCTCTGGCACCCTTCCAGCCCCCCTCATGCAGTCTTGTCTGCTCAGAAGCATCCGGCAGCCTTTGGATTCAGTCCCTGGGACGGCAGGGCTCGTGGCAGCTCTGCTTTAGCCCGCTTTCAGCACGGGCCCCCACTCCCCCAGTGTCAGGCTCTGTCTTACCCAGGGCTGACATGGGGCCCAGCTGTGGCCAGCGGCTGAGAAGCCAGGGGGCACCAGGGTAGGGGAAAGGGGTTGGGGAACAGAGGCTCCTCTCCTTGATAGCCATCTCTCTCAGAAGACGATGTGAGGGCCCAAGCCCTAGCAGCCACTCTCCCGAAATAGCTGTCTGGCTCTCTGGCGGCTCTAGCACGATTAGATTAGAGACGGGGGCTAAGCCCAGGGCGGCCCAGCCCAGCCTGCTGTGCGCTCCCAGCCTCCCCCTCACTCCTCTCGGAGTCAGCCCAGCCAGCGGTTTGTTTAAACAAAACAATAGCAACCTAAGCGGGCTGTTTCTTTTCAATTCCCCACAGGCTTGGGTCCCACCCAGAGTGATAAACAGGCCTCTCTCTTCTGAGTGAGTGCAGGGAGGCCTGGGGTTGGGGGGTGGTTGCTGGCGCCCATAAGGTCAGGGAGTTTGTGCAGCACAGGGTGGAAAGTCTGATCTGTAGCCTTGATCAGGGTGGAAAGGCTCTCCTTCCCCTCCCTTTCACTCCAGGGAGTCTTTTCTCATCAACTGGGGCCAGCTTGGCAAACACATACGCACACCCGTGGGTTCACTGAGTAAAGCCAGCGGCCCTTCCTGCCTGCCTTCCCTGGCGGAGCGGCTCTTGAGCTCAGCTGAGGCGGCTGCTGGGGGAGCCGGGAGCAGAGAGGAGGGATGGCTTTAGAGTTCTTAGGGTCTCTCTGGAGCTTGTCGCGGACAGGTGCTGTTCCTTGGAAGGGTGAACGGAGAAGGAAGGCTCTAAGGAAGGACCAGGCTGTAGAAGGGCCTCCCCCGCAGAGCCTGTGGTCAGTGTGGCTGGGATTTATTCAAGCTAGGTTGAGAATTGGCTAGACTTCCTTTGGCCATAAACCTTCCCTCACTGGTCTGTCCTGGGGGGCGGTGGTGTGCTAAAATTTCTACCATATGAACAATATGTGATAGGGGTCTTAGGAAACCAGACTCAAAGGGTGAAAACGGTGACTCTCCAACGGGCTCAAACTGCTTGTCCGGAGCCACAGAGTAGTAGTGGGAGAATCCCAGAACATTCCAGGAGGAAGGAGCCTTAGACCCTTTGACCTTAGAGACCCACTAGCTCAAGATCTCCTGTCTTTTGACCCATAGTGCCATCCTATGCTTTTTCTACAACTTCACGGCAATCCCATCACTCCTTCAGGCAGCATGGCTTTAGGAAGACTGTTATTACAATACACAGATATTACCTGGAGGCCTGGGGCCACAGTGGAAATGGTTACCTGGTTCCCCACCCCCGGCCCCCCACCCCCATAAGAAATCATGAACTCTCTTGAAGTGTCTTCGTGGATCCGAGTACCTCATTTAGCCTGAGACGACCTTAGGAAGCTGGAAATCTCTGGGGATGGATGAGATTCTGGAACATTTCTGGTGGGGTGGGGTGGGGGAATCTCTGATTCTGAGCACTTCCTAGGAAGATAGGACTGAGGAAAGGGCCCTGAGGGTGGGCAATGAATCCAGCATTTGAGGGACAGACCCCACACCTGTCAAGTCTGAGCAGACAAGAGTTTTGCAAAGAGGGCGTGCAGCAGGGAAGGGGCAGCTGAGAGCTCCCCCACACCTTGGCTTCCTCACCTGGAGCCCTCCTCCCTGGACTTCCCCCCTCCCCCAGGTATACTGCTCCTTTTTAAGATGGGCCCAGCCCAGACAAAACCTCCTTTCCCTTACTATAGCTAAGACAGATTGACATTTTCAAAAGGAGCTTGTCTAAATGCTAAGGTTAAAAAAAGGAAATAATTATAGAAATTACAAACAGTGTAGAAACTGTCGGGTTTCTGATCCTCAAGAACACTGAAAAGCCCAGGGTGGCTTTTTCAGGATATCAGGAGAGGAACACCCAAGGTGTTAGGGCAGTGTGCTTGGGAGGATGTCCAGGGCCCTTCTAAGTGTCAGAGACTAGATGACCTTGGGGAGGCAACTCTTTTCCTTATCAGCATCTTCTGTCAAGGGGAAGGGGGTGGGGGGAGATTGCTCAGTAGGAATTGTCTCTTCTTAAAAAAAAAAAAAAAGAATAGTCTCTTCTTTTTTTTTAGAAGTTGGTCCCCAGTGTGTGTGTGTGTGTGTGTGCATGCATGTGTGCGTCCGTGTGTGTGTGTGTGTGTGTGTGTGTGTGTGTGGAGGAGATGCACGCAACTGTCTGGCATAGGAAGAGGCCCACATTATTCTAGTTGCAGAGAAGAAGCTTCACTCTGTGGACACTTTGGAGGAATTTTGGGGTTTATAGACGTGAGATTTCCTTTCCAGCTCTCTCCGACCTCAGAACTCACAGCTTCTCTATCAAGTTAGTTTGGACCTGGCCTGTGAAATGCTTAAGAGGACTCTCAACCAAGAGTCATGGCGACCCCAGTCTTGGCACAGGGTAGATACAGACTGTCCTACCAGACTTGTTCTGATCAACTGGTCTCTGGTCAAGTAGAGAGCACAGTGCTGGAAGCAGGGGTCTGCTCCCCCTACTGTTATCTGACATTCGCAATGAGCTTTCAGTGTTTCTTTTCCACGGCTCTAATGGATGCATCCATCTCATAGCAGTCCTTGTGTGGGAAGGGCAGAGCTCAGTCTCTCGATTCACTGGAAGGAAACCCAGAGAAACTTTAGCCTCTCAAGGGCAGGGACAGCATCCTACCCCTCTTTGTTAGCCCTTAAGATGCTCTGCCTAGAGCAGTGGACATTGTCAGTGCCCTGGCTCATTCCCTGGCCCTTGCCACCTTGGTGCTCTCCAGCATTCCTCCCAATCTGCTTCTCCTGGTCCCAGGGCCCCCTCTGGCCTCCAGAGCCTGCGTCCCCACCTGCACAATAAGGCAGACATGCTGGGGTGTTAACATCCTCTGGCAACAGGTCCTAACCAATGGCTGATGGGAAATGGTGCATAAATACTCCAGCTCCTCACCTCTTGGGGGCCGGGCAGGGGAGCGGAATGATGAAGCAGCCTATTTCATACTGGCTCCAGGCATCCACAGTGGAACTTGTTTTCTCACGAGCCTCGACTGAGTGCCTTCCTTTTTCCTGTCTCACCCGGTCCCTTCTTACTGGTGCTTCCTCACGTCCTTTTGAAAATTCGCTACTTGCACGAGACTCCTTGTCTCGGGCTCTGTTTGGGGCAACCCAAGCTAAAACAGTAAGGGTCCAACAGACATCTGGGGAAGGAGTGGAGAGATGAATGAAGCCTTTGTCTAAGGTGTCATAGGTAGCTGGCCTCTATGCCAAGACTAGAAGCCTCTCCTCCTGATTCTCTGTCCCAGGCTCTTCTGATGGGACCGCACTCCTATGGTCTGGACCTGGATCCTTCTGCCCTCGCAGACCGGGTCCCAGAGGTCTCTGATACATTAAGCCTTTGGAGTACCACACACAGACGAACAATTAGATGAAAGACACCTCTATCCTTTGTTTCTTGTCCATGGGGACAGCCAGAGAGCTACCTTTCCTGAGAATCGAGGGTCCAGCGGCACCCCTTCCCCAGCCGGAGAAGCCTTAGGTCAAGCCTTCTTGAGACATGGTGGCCAGATTCCGGTTGTGAGGTCTGGTGGGTGGGGAAA